GAGAGAGAGAGAGAGAGAGAGAGAGAGAGAGAGAGAGAGAGAGAGAGAGAGAGAGAGTTGAAGGAAAGGTGTTAACTACCTTTAGAGAGGACTTTAGAGAGGAAGGTCGTTATAGCTGCATATTTCTTTATTTTTTTTCGAAAGGAGCGAGCCGTTGAAGGTAGGGAGGGGCTTTTCAATGAGGACTTTAGAGAGGATCCTTGATTTGAATCGAGATGAGCTTTCTTTCGGAGAAAACTGCTAGCTTAGTAGCTTTTGTGGAAATCGTAGTCAAGAAAGACTCGAGACGAGGGCGATGGAGAGATCAACTTATCACGGATATATTAGCTGAGGATTTGAGAGAAGACATTTCTTGAGGTGGATAAGAGTGAGAGAACATTTGATATTGAGTGAGAATTTTCAATTTTGGCCATGATCCATGTCGGTGGTTTACGATCTTACCCTTTTTAGCAAAGCACTTGGAACTGGTTGTTTAAAGTTTAAACCACCAGTACCTAGACGTTTTTAGGCCGTTGATGCGGTGGCTGAATCGGTGCGCCGCGCGGGTCCATATGCATTAAATTTTGCATTAGAGCTTGCCCATAGGGGCCCTAAGACCCCCAGAGGGGTACTGGTTGTTTAAAGCTAAACCAGCTGGTTAGACTTTAGGTATATATATATGTATATATATTGTTACAGCCCAACGTTGTCCTCTTCTCTCTCTCTGCCTACGGTTTACCGGGCAGTTCTGTTTGTGACGATATATTGCTATATATATATGTATTGCTAGATATGTATTGCTCCCATAACTCTGCACTTTGCCTTAATTTGAAGTTCATTCTCTCAAATGCCTGTGTCCTAAAATATCTGGCCTTGCAGCCAGCCTGAGCCAGGCAGGAGTTGTAGTCCTCCAGGTGCAGTCTGGATTACTTTCTTTTGTCTTTTTTTGCTATGTTGCTGCGCAGGGGCCACACTAATCTTCTCTGTAGTGTTCTAATTTTAGCACGGATGGCGTGAAGGACGTAATTTCAGTTTCAGCCTTCAGGTACATTCTGACAGAGGCAGAGGCATTGGAGGAATGACGACAGACTTGCCATCCAGGTGCATTCTAACAGAGCCATCGGAGGAATTATGGCAACACACATAGGGGCATTGGGGCAATTAAGCCAATGTAGAGAGACGATGGAGCAATTAAAGCAGAAGTGCAGAGGCATGGGAGCAATTAAACCACCAGTACTTCCTAAAGTTGTGCCCTTTAACAAGCCACAATTTTAGGAAACGTAGGGACCACTACAGGAGTGCCCAAATTCATCCGACTAGAAACGTTTCTACTCTTTTTTTCTCTTTTCCGGCCGCCGATAGCTGGGCCAAGTACTGGTGGTTTAAACTTTAAACCACTAACTACCGTAGTACCGGCCCGAGCCTTGCAGTCCGAAACCTTGTCGCCACAAGAAAACGACTCAGGCGCCGAAACGGCAAACGCTGGGCCCACCGTTGATAAGTTCTTTTTTTTTTTTTTTTTTTTTTTTCCCCCTTTCCCGTCGATAAATTCAATTGGCGGTCACGTTTTAGTTTCACGCCTCCACGATTTTTGAGGTGTCGGGCCCACGGCCCAGGTGCCCCATGTACTGGTGCATTCAGAGCAAAGTACAGGGGCATTGGAGACATTATCACTACACTTTTAATCTGTCCAGCTTGCCTACTTTGGTAATCAACAAGTTTTGAGTTTTGGCTGCGGTGAGAACTATGGGACTTGTTATTTGAGGAAACCTTTCTTTTTTTTTTTTTTTTTTTTTTTTTTTTTTAACCTTTGTTTTCAATCGCCTTTTCTCGTGGTCTCGTAGTAGGAAAAAAAAACAAAAAACACGTCCGACTCGTTGTATGGGCTTCGCAGACAGCACGGAAAACGGAATCACAGGCCGAACCGGCAGAGTCGGCCGACTTAATTTGTCGCCATGCGCAAAGTATTTTGGATGCGTGCGCACACAATGCGAAGTGAAGTGAAGACTGTGAAGCGATGGAGTTTTGGTGAAACGCTTTAATCAAGGACGTCGTCAAGACTTCAAAATGCATTGCGCTTGGGGAGGAGAGTGTGCGAAAGAGGTGAAAGATTGGTCTAAGGAGGGGTATATAAATGGGAGGCCCGACGACCACAGAGGCAATTACCCCCCCCCTTGGGGAGGAGATCATAAGGAGGAAGGGCAAGAAGAATGGCCTCCTAAGGGTCATGCAAATGGAAGGATGGATGGACACAAAAGTGAGTATCGTTATGCTGACGCAACCAATAGTCAGCAAACACTTAAACATGGCACAAATCCCTCATGGGGGATCGAGCATGAAGGCGGACAGAGTCTGGAGGAGGACGAATGGCGAGCGTGTAATGTGCACAACAGAAGAATATCTGATCAGCAGAAGCATGCTATTGTACATGCGTTTAAGGATTCTCCAAATCTTCTATCAATGGCGCAGATGGCATCGATAAGATTGGTGCGTACATCCGTTCCTTCTTTTCTTTTTTTTAAGTTTTTTTTTTTGTGAAAAATTCATTCCCCTTGCCTCGGGGGTCATATGCTGGTTACATGTTGATTTTTTTTTTTTATTTTTTTTATTTTTTTTGAAATAGGGTGTTGTAGAGGCCAAGGACCAGACCTGCGGTAATTGCTGGCAGCGGCAGCCAATGGTTTGTGCTGACAGGATAGGCCACCTACCCTACCCATCCCCACGTTAAACCACCAGTACTTGGGCGACGCCTTAGCGTTAACGCTACGCGATTTCCGCGGCCGGCGAGCCGTCGATAAATCGAATCCACAGCCCGCGCTGCTTCGAGATTTGGGCGGCCGGCGCGGCGCGCAGTGCCCAAGTACTGGTGGTTTAATACTCCCAGCGCACCCCTTGTCCCTACTATCCTACCTCAGTCACTCAGTGTGACCAGCACTCAGCACCATCACCCCACCAGTATCGAGGGCAACTTGGACCAGACAGCAGTGACAAGCACCAAGGCTGGGCCAATTCCCCAGCCCTAGTGGAAGCAGAAGCGGACGAACCTTGCCGTATGGGAACTTCGGACGCCAGGCTCATGCAGTCTTCTAAGGCCCAATTCAGAGAGTCTACCCAGCAGGAGTACCTAAGCAAGGCAAGCCGGCGCCCATGGACACATCCTACCGTCCTTCCCCTAACTTACCCAAGGCTACCGTCTTCACCCGAAAATAACGCCCGGGTGTTGTATACGAATATAGCGCCTGCCTGGCATCATATTCATTTATAACGCCCGGGCGTTATATTCAGTAAATTGGTGGCAACCTCGGTTGGGGCCCAAAATTCCGGGGAAAAAAAATTCAAGAATGAAAATTCTGTAAGAAAAATATATTGTCCAGAATTGCAGTGCGGCCATCTTTTGGCTGAGGGTCACTACATTCTGTAAGCGAACATTGAAAGTGTCGGTACCGAAGCGATACTGTTGGGATAAAAGCCTGGCTATCGTCGGGCCCCACCCTCGTTTCCCCTCTGGGGGAGTGTGATACGAAAGTTGGCGTGTATGGCGGTTCCTGGGTGTTGTGGCAAGAATGGTGGATCGCGTACTCTTTGTTTTCGAGTGCTATGACACTCGCGACAGTTGTTACCAAGTATGCAAAAAAATTGCTGTGTTTTTGTCTACCTGCGTGATGCTGTTCAACTTGCTTTTCTTCACTACAGAATTCCTTATAAACTCGGAAATAAAAAATAAAAACAAAAAATCAAATTGAAATATGCCCCTTGGAAGTCAAAACCCCTTTCAACCCCCTTTAAAACCCATGTATACCCCCTCGCCGCCCTTTCAAACCCATGTATACTACCTCTACAAGGCACTCTGCCCATGGAACATATAAATATAACGCCCGGGCATTCTATTCAAATATAACGGCCAAATATAACGGCTGGGCGTTATATTCGGGGTAAGTTGAATATAACGCCCGGGCGATATTTTCGGGTGAAGACGGTAGGCGGAACTCAGACTAGCCCAAGCGACTTACATCCCTACCCTACCCTAGAGCTAAGCCATGCATGATGATTGGTCTTTGACCATCTTCCTTTTTGTGAAATTAGTGATGCGTTTGCTGTTTTTCTTCAAGGGCTTGATCCCACTGGCAAAGGGCATTGTAGTACACGTCTGAATGTGGACGTGTTTGTGGACAGGGGTGAAACATTGTGATTGATCTACTTTTCTGCACCTCTGCGTGGAACACATCCAGATTCAGACACTTCTTCCAATCCTCTTTGCCAGTGGGATCTGGCCCTTAGTAAGTTTTGAAAGGTTTTCTTTTGGGATCATCCTTTTTGTCTTGCTAGGCTTTTTGTTGCTCTCTTTCACAGGGGACAGGCTCCGATTGCTGGATGCACTCGGAGGCCTTGGGGCCCCTGAAACTGAAAACTCTATCCCATTTTGTATGTTTGCCTTGGGCACTGGGCCCTGATATTAAAGGGAAGCTCAGTTGGTAAGGTGTTCAAGTGGCACTCAGGAGGTCGTGGGTTCAACTCCCATTGCCCCCACGATAGTGCCTGTGGCATGCTTGGCGTCTTACCTTCGAGACGGTCAGTTGGTAACTCAGTGGGCAGAGCTCCGGTGTTGCAACGGGGAGGTTGGGGGTTCGACTTTGTCGGCCCACAATTTCCCCCGATCACAATTGGTTGGTGTAGGTTGCACCCCACGTACTTGTCCCGAGTCTGGCGTAGCGCCCTTACAGACTAATGACCTCAATAGCTCAGTGGGTAGAGCTCTGATATTGTAACTTGGAGCTCCCGGGTTCAACTCCATACTAGTACTATGCTCATTCAGCATGTCTATATATACTGTTTGTCATATCAGCTAGGGATGATCCTCTGGATGGATTTGGGTGGGGACGTGTGCCTTTCCGGCGGGAGAGTTGATGTGGGATGGATGCTACGCTCTCGGGCCGGGGAGTGGTAAGGGGCTGTTTGCGTGCATGGTGATACCGTGGCAGTCCTATGGTGGGCAGGGGTGCCTTGTAGGGAAACCAACGTCGAATCAAGAGGTGTGTCCTACTCTCCATGTCTGTGGACCCATTCTGGGGAGGTGGGTTATCAGAGGTTGGTCGGGGGTAGTTGATGAGGGTTGAGGTCTCCACCATTACCACTGGTCGATTCTCCCTAGTGAACAGACATAAGGAAGACTCGTTAGTAGCAGAAAGCAACCACATACATCCATACAGACTATGGTATCACACTAGCCCACATAACAACAACCAGCGTATTCAACAACCAGTAGCCATGTATGAACCGCGCTGTGTTGGGTTGGTGCTTAGAGATAGGGGGACTCATGGGTTAGACCTTGGTTAGCCGACCATTAGACACTGCCTATGGGTGCCCTCACTGCTCACGGGACTAGTTGAGCACTTCGCGCGTATAGCTCCCGAGGCACCTGTCTAAACGAGGCTTGTACGCTGTTATGTGCCTGAACTGGGGCTGAATGGGGGAGCTCATTCAGCGTGAGTGCCCGCGTCCGCTGTCTGGTCAGGTTGATCCAGTAGAGAGTGGTGTTCCTCGCGTGAGGTAAGATAGAAAAGGAGTGGGGGTGCGCCATGAGATATATCGAGAGGGGTGGTAGGGGAGTCTCGTGAGTATGCGAATAATAATAATAATAATAATAATAATAATAATAATAAAACTAGCTATGTGTCCGCGGTGCAGGCGGTGCAGGCTACGCCTGCAGAAAAGTAATAACAAATGCAGTGGGTGACCTCACACTGCATTTCGGATGGCTCGCCTCTAAGATGTTTGTCCGCAGAAACAATGACGGCCTACCGGGGGCCACAAAACGACAGCTGCGCGAGTAATGAAAAAAGAAGGAAGGGAAAAAAAAAAAAAAAAAGGGGGGGGGGCACAAAACGACAGGTGCGAGCAATGAAAAAAGGAGAAGGGGGACACAAAACGATGGCTAACCCGGAAAAAAAAAGCCGCCCGCATATCGGATGGCTCGCCTCCAAGATGTTCGTCCGCGTCAACGCCAGCTGTGTGCCCCGCCCCCGGGGCGCGTGCTCTCCATTAATGGCGCGCTGTGAACATTTCTGTACACGCAGCCCTCTGCACACTCCCCCGCCCTCGATCGCCTTCATGCACCACCCCTCGCCAAAACTTCAACCCGAATCCGGCGCGCAGCGTGTCATTGGCCTGCCCCCGCGACCACTGCTTCTTAATGCATCACTATGGCTCGCCTCCAAGATGTTCGTCCGCATCAACGCCAGCTGTGTGCCCTGCCCCTGGGGCGCGTATTCTCCATTAATGGCGCACTGTGAACATTTCGGTACACGCACCCCTCTGCACACTCCCCCGCCCTTGATTGCCTTCATGCGCCACCCCTCACCAAAACTTCGACCTGAATCCGGCGCGCAACGTGTCATTGACCTGCCCCCACGGCCAATGCTTCTTAATGCATCACTAGCAGACCACCAGCAAGTCCAGTTGATGTAGCTCAGTGGTTAGAGCACCGGTTGGAAACGCGCATCGTGGTACGAGGTTGCGGGTTCAAAACTCCCCAGCCTTGCGCATGGACACCGGCAGGCCGTTAGAATGACGCACATCAAGTCACCCCCTTGGGATGATGCAGGTAAGTTATTACAGACACTGCCTGCACACCACTCAAGGAGTAGTCCATGGTTGTTGTATGTGGGGACTGGGCTGGGTATCCTATGGGGTTGTCCTGAGACTGCTGGGTGGCTTGCATAGTCCGGTTTACCCGAGCCCAGCAGAGCACAGTTACAGACTATTTCACAAGGTAGGTCAATAGGTAAGGTCACTTGTACAATTCACATTAGGCCCTGTGTTCGATACCAGACTGTAACTTAGGGCTGATCATCCTCTTAGTACGTGGTCAATGTTCGATACCAGACTGTAACTTAGGGCTGATCATCCTCTTAGTTCGTGGTCAAAGGATTGAGGCTGGCATAGCAGTTCCTTAGTACGGGATGTCGGGAGTGTCGGGAGATACTGCACTTTACCGCAGGGCCGGAACGGGCTCCAGGGACATACGAGGGAACGGAGGATTGTCTGCTCTCAGATTACCATACAACACAGGGATAATAGATTATCCAGGGTCAATACATGCAGTCCATGATTCACGATTGAGGATGGGCTATCCTCCTAGTACGTACCTTAGAGTTGAGGCTGGCATAGCAGTCCTTAGTACAAATGTCGGGGGTGTCAGGAGATACTGCACCTTACCGCGGGGCCGGAACGGGCTCCAGGGATATACAAAGGAACGGAGGATCCCCATCTCTCTACCATCAACACCATAGAACACTGTAGTAAAGACAACATAAGGATAAGAAACTCAGTTCATAACTCATGACCTAGGGTTGGCTATCCTCCTAGTACGTAGCATAGGGTTGAGGCTGGCATAGCAGTTCCTTAGTACGGGATGTCGGGGGTGTCATGGCCGGAACGGGCTCCAGGGACATACGAGGGAACGGAGGATACCCAGCTCTCTATCATCACCACACAACTAAGCTAGATGGGAGTCACTGTGCACCCTCATAAAGACATGTAGTAGCATGTTCATACCTAGCTCCCGAAGTCCCCGTGCAATCAGGCTTGCACGGCGTCTGCTTCAACCGGGGCTGAGCAGGGGGTAGGCATCTCTGCTCAGCCCCGGTACCTGCAACTGTTGTCTGGTCAGGTCACCTTGCCAAGATGGCAATGGGTGATGGTCCTGGGTGGTTAACATTAGGGTAGGACAGGGGGGGTGGGGGTGCGCCAGGGCAAAAAGATGAGAGGAAGGGTGGGTGGGGTCTTCAGAGGGGTTCACTTGGACAACCGAGTGGCCGAGTACTGTGGGTGACTGCCATCCGTCTAGTATGCCACCTCTACAACAACCTGGGCTATTTTTTTGGAAAAAAAAAAAAAAAAAAAAAAGCAGACCAACAGCACTCACAACGCAAACTGAGTCTGCCAGGATCAGACAAGTCTAAATGGGGGCCTGCGCTAACTGGAATTGGTAGAGTCTGTCAGTCCTAAGGGGAGGGGAGAGTCAAGAATGACAGTCCACAATTCCTTATAGGGGGTACAGTAATCATAATGAAGGAGTTCCAATAAGGGTTGGGAATCAATGCAGCCCCAACGGGATTAGGAGCTCGAGAACATGCACAATGTGACACAGGCCCCACCTATCTAACCTTGTAACGTAGGCTACCCGCTCAGGTCACTGAGTTGTCGTGGGGACTATCGGTCAAATTTCTTACTCTGAGAGCGGTCCTCACGGCTGGCATTAGCTACAATCGGATGTTTTGGCAAAAGAGCAATTATGATGTTCAGGGACGCCGGACCCGATATCCGGCAGGCGCTGCTCCCCACCAATAGACGGAGCCTCCCCGACAGTGTTTGTGGTGTCTGCTCTTGTCAGCACTTCTAGCTGCCTTTCAGCTTGCCACGTGTCACCTGTCGTTTGGTGGCGTGGACGTCCTGCGACGCGTGAACAGGGGAAACACCAACTGTGATTGATTGGAGGTTAGTGCACAATAGCGGCGCAGTTCTTTGAGCGAGCCATGGCTACCATGGAGGAGATTTTGGAGAGGGAGCTACATCTTGGAGCAAACGAATGGCTGATTACCTTGGAGAACGGACGCAGATGGCTCTAGCCTACAAGAGATTGTGAGGGACATGTCTTTGCGGCTGCAAGTGGAGCCAGAGGTCGAAAGGGGAACGATTTCTATGGCTGGTTGGCTGAAGGATATAAGTGAGGACATGCTGGAGATCATCTGGGAGCTGGAGGAGGGGCCGGATCCTCGGCTTGACTTCTGCATCGATTGGAGGAGGGCAGATGACATCATGTCTGTCCGCAAAACCCTATTCAAAGAGGGTCGCGATCTGTGTGCTCTTCTAGAAGACCGGTTGGAGTGCAATATTGATGGTGAGGAGGCGCACGTGGCATCAGAGGTAATGACATTAACATCATCAACAACAACAACAACAACAACAACAACAACAACAACAACAACGGCGACAACGACAACAACATCGACACTGGTGGGGAAGACAACGAGCGTCACAAAGCCAGTACCGATCATATCAACGAGTCAACGACATCGTTGATCACGGCGCCTGCAGTGTTGGCGGCGGCTAACAACAACAACAACAACAACAACAACAACAACAACATCATCAACAACAACAACAAGGACAACAACAGTAATGACAACAACAATAATGACAACAACAACGACAAGAACAACAACAACAACAATGCCAACGACAAAAACAACGGCCACAGTGACAACAACAAGGGCAACAACATCAAGAACAACAACTACTTCGTTGTCAGCATGGTGAGTGAGAGGCCGGGATCTGACGTCGACAGGGGGAAGGGGATTGGGGCTGAAATAAAGTGGTGTTATATCTTTCCCCCTTCCAATCCTAATATGGGATTGTTTCTTGTTGTCCGGCTCAGGGCGCGGGTAGGATAGTTGAAGTTGATTGAAATTGCCCGACCCGCAATTTCAATCAAGAAGGTCGGTGTCATGATGGAAATATGGCTGAGATGGTTGTTAACGTGGTTAGGGTCTCCCCCTCGGATGCCATGTTTTCCGTGATAAACATAACATAGACAAGTTTTGGTGATGGTCCCCAACGGGGAGGTGGGTAGTTTAGGGTTTCGTGCTTTGCTTTGACTTCCTTGTTTGGGGATCGTTGAAGATGCATTTTGTTAAGACAATACTTCATGAGCTGGAGGTCAATCCTTCCCTTACGCAGGGAAGTAATCAATGCCTCGGCTCTTTTCTGAGATGTAGGTGCAAACACATAATAGGGAGGCTGGTCCCGAATTCCAGCTCATACACATCACATCAGCGTTAGGACTTCGTATAACGGTAGAATGATATTTCCTAATATCACTGAATAGGGACGCTGGACACGATTTCCAGCTGATACACATCATATCTTGTACAGGGACGCTGGACCCGATTTCCAGCAGGTGCAGCTCCCCACCAATAGATGGAGTCTTTGACGCAGGGGCCGACTTACCGGGGCTGCTCTTATTCCCACATACGAAGTTAAAAAAAAAAAAAAGGATAGGAATCATAGGATAATAATAATACAAATAAAATAAAATAAAGGGAAAGAAGGGGGGAAAAAA